TTAGCTGGATTTCTGGCATAGCCAACACGTTCAGATAGAGGGAGTACATGTCATCAAACTCGTCTTGGATTGCAGACTGAGGGCAAAACGACTGTAGTTTCAATTGTAGTTCGAGGAAAGTGTATAGGTTGTGGACAGTTGTCTTGAACATATAACCAAAAAATGAAACAAAGTCTAGCATTGCCATAAGTAGAAGTATTGATGAATACAGAACGTGCGTTTCCTTCGAACCAGTCATCAGGTCGTTTCAGCAAGGCTAGTATTCACCCGTTGTTACTATAGTACATAGGCGAGGTTTTTTTTAGAGCCGTTCCTCCACCAAGTTGTTATAAGATTCTTTATTTGATACGCGAGGTACGAGATCTTTACAATAGTTTTAACTAAAGTTCGCTAATGTTCTCTTCTTCAAATTTTGATCTTGATCGTCGTTTAAATTGTTCTTGTCTTCTTCGTCAGTTCTGTCGTTGAGTTTTCTAGCGTTTCATAACTTAATCTTTACTCCGCTAGTCCACTGAAGGTTGGGGTGTTGTGCACGCCCTTTTATAGTAACGGTTGAGGGAAACTTGCAGACGTCATCAACCAGAGTGGGCTGATCCTTATCCAACCAATCAGCGTTGTAAGTTAGAAATGTGGGTTGGTCTTAGAAGCTCGTTCCAGCTCTCATATCTTGTTTGTTTAAGGCGTTGTCGCACTAATCGAGTTGGTCTTCTGCTCAATCGATCAATACTTAAAAATGTTCACAACTTAAAATGTTTATCATCAACAACTAGTAAAATTTACAAATAATACGTCTGTGAACAATATCTTTCAACTTAAACTATTTTCACTCTTATTTTATCGAACTGAACTTTTGATGACGTAATCTATTACATGCTTGACCGAGCAACATTTTTAACACAATTGATTGACATAAGAACTTGAATGGCCTACAGCACGCACACTTTTTTAAAGAATGCAACCATTAAGATAAGTGACGACTTAAGACTGTTTATCCAGGTATCAGTTCTGAGAGGATTACAAATATTTTCCTCTTATTACTCATTTAATCCCACGATATGTCATACATGAAAGGGAAAAGCGATTAATGTTTGCTAATGGCCGAAAATTATATTTACTCAGGCGTCTTGTGGCAAAAATCATTCACTAATCCCTGTCATGCTCTTGATATTCCTATTTTTGCAGCTATTTTTATATGCATATCTCTAAACACAATAAAGCTTTGCGTAACACAGGCGTTATACCATCTCCGATGCATGCGCGTGCCTGTTAGTAATAATAATGATTTACAATTCAGTTCTTTAGACGAAAAAAAAACCATGCCAAGACCCTTGCTGGTCCATATGTTAAATTTTGGTGGTAAACGAGAGTTTAGCACAGGAAATTTCATGCCAGGGGATGTTAGCTATAATAAGAATCCTCAACACATTAGAAATAGTAATAAGGCAATAAGCGGCATGTATATGCATGGTAAAGTTGTAAAGGGGCTTATTTCCGGAGACTCATCTTCCAGTAAAATACTTGATATCCCTACTGATAACAAGATGCTTGCTAAGTGCGTACCTCGAGCTAAAGGAGTATTTTTGTTTAGGCTGGGATAAAGAAAGCAGAAGATTGCATTAATTTGCATTAATTTGCACCACTTCACTTGCGAGTAACTACTAATCGTATCTTCCCTTGATATATACTATGCATGTGATATGATAGTCCCTGAAACAGGTCCAATAACTGAATTAATAATTTGATTAAGTTGATTAAGTTCAACAACACGGGAGGATGTTGTTGTTAGCTTATTTCAAAGAATTAAAAGAGAAAAAAAGCAAGACATAAACCAATAATTTCAAAGTACATCCGATGACTTCAAGTGACTGGACGTGATCGTCAATAACATGCACTAAACATAGGATGCAATTATACTATTATACCTCGGATACCAAGGCCTTCCCGGGTATAATTGCAGACTTTTGGTGCTTTTCTTGTGTAAATGACTTACTACAAGTTCGTTTGACATAATGTTAACATAAAAATAATAAAATATAGACATTTCCTGTTTCGCAGCGCGCAATGTGCGACGGTAAGAGATTATCCTTTATCCTTGCGATCTTCTATATTTACAGGTGATTACGCGTAATTTCAATTTCAAAAGGACTCTCTTGAAATCCTGTAAGTGTTTTGGCAGCATTGGATATAACCGTCTAATTATATAATACACACCTTTTTTTAGTGTGTATAGGCTGGCGTTTTTTTGACCGAATTTAGACGGAATGTTATCTATTTGTTAAATAGTGCATGCATGATTTGATTATTGTAATGATTATAAATTCTTTACTAGGTTCACCTTCAAGCGATTTCGAGTTAGCTGGTCTTGGAAAACACGACGACTTAAGACTTTTTTTGAAAGCTCGTCCTGGAAAATTTCTCGTTGACTGTCATTACACTGATTTTTTTGGGTATAGTTTATTTCAATTTGTAATATATAAAGAACTAATACTAATAAAATTATGCTCGTCTCTTAAAAAATCGCACTATCCTTAATTCATATCGCAAAATTAACGCAAAAGATTTGTCCGCTATATATATATATATAACAAGTGTATATATATAAACATATATATATATATATATATATATATATATATATATATATATATATATATATATATTATATATATATATATATATATATATATATATTAATATATTAAAAGGTTGCTTGTCAACTAGAGATATATTTCGAACATAACCACTGCTGTATTTTAATATCACTTTATTCACAAACGTTTCGCTCTCTTAGCTCTTCAGGTGATAATGATGACAGTGGTTATTTTGTTTACTTACATATAGTGTAATATGATACATCCTATTTAGTGTGACTATGTTAAAGTTGTGTTTTTACAAAGATAAAATTAGCATGCATTAAATTGTTCTGTTTATTATTTGTTTCTCTTTGGTCTCTCTTATTAGTCTATTAGCGTTTACACTTATAGATCGGCATAATGTTAAAGTATATTTATTATATATATATATTATATATTATAATATATATATTATATATATATATATATATATATTATATATTATATATATATATATACACCCATTTGCAAAACGTTGGCCGCAGATAGATAGATAGATAGATACTCGAAGTCTAATTAGAATTGCATTGATTACATTTGCATGGGATTTCATCATATTACACAGCATATGCAATTCTAATTAGATTTCGAGTATCTATCTATCTATCTATCTGCGGCCAACGTTTTTGCAAACGAGTGTATATATTATATATAATATATATATATTATATATATACATATATATATAAGTATTTTTATATATTTCCAGGTGACAACCTGAATGATAAAGACTATATATATATATATATATATATATATATATATTATTATATTATATAATATATAATTATATTATATAATATATATGTATATATATTATACATGTATTTACACATGTTATACACACACATATATATATATATATATATATATATTTATATATATATATATATGTTCTCATTTGCATTCCAGGACGGACGGCTCTTTGATCTCTTTGTTTTACACAAAAAATACTTATAATAATGTAGCGTCTTCAAACAACTTAGTATCAACTGTGGTATAAATAAAACTGCCTAAAATAGACAAAACACTTCTCGACGTTTCGACCTGAGCTAGGGCCTTCGTCAGGAGATACTAACTCTCCTGACGAAGGCCCTCAGGTCGAAACGTCGAGAAGTGTTTGCTATAATATTTGAATAATAGACCAACTTTTGATTTAAGCGACAAAAATAATTTCTGAAAACAGCATACTAAATTAACTTTTAGTAAAATTGCCAGGTTTGGCTGCGAAACTTGTAAAGTATACGGAATATATATATATATATATATATATATATATTAATATATATATATATATATATATATATATATATCCCAGATATAACTCAATGGTCAATCTCTTACATGCCGCTTGTATCGTTCACATAGTTATTATTTCTCGTATATTTCGAAAACGATGTACACAGTTTTATGTATTCTTTTTCTTGTAGATATAATGGATCCCCGATGATGAACAGTTATTTAAAGCAGGTTTAATTTTTGTGTCGTTGAAGGGCAAATAGCTACATCCAAATGATCCAATTATTGGACAATATTAGTGAATTATTGAATAAAATGTGCTGAGCATACCAGACTCTTTGAAGTTCTGTTTACTGCTGTGAAAGAGAATTAAAATACGTATAACAGATCGCTATATATACTATCTCCTCGCGGTGCATGGCAGCACAGTTAATGGAGGGGGGATCACTATCACAAACAGACACACGCGGAATCCGAAATAGCGAAATATTGTGTTTTCCGCTAGTAGGGCAGCCAAAAAAGGCGCAATTACCCCCACCCATAACCACAATACGCCTCACATGACCAAAATATGAACAATAACATATTTTGTCACGCGGTACGCCTAGCCTAACCATCCCCTCTCCATTAACTGTGATGGCAACATGCTCAAATCCTGGACACATCTCCTTGCAAGTATGCATGCATGTTTATATAAAATTCTGACGATATTTGCTGCAATTTTCCGTGCGAATTCCTTCCTTTTTTACGAATGCGAATTCCTTGAGTTCCTTTTTTTACAAAAACCCGTTGTACCGACTGGCCGGGTTTAATATCGCGGAACGTTCAAACGTCCAGCCAGACGTTTCTCCGTTATTTTGAACTTTTGCCAGTCTCGTCGTTCGCCTTTCTGGCCTTTTTTAGTTCCTCTAGGTCCAGCGTTGTTTAGTTTCTATGCAAAAAACTTTCTGCCATTTTGTTTATTTTGAAAAACTATTAATTGTATGCTGCAATACAATAAAACCCGGCAATAAAATTTCCGCACTTCTCTCGATAATTAGCATCCGTTAATTTAAGATGCTATTATTGAAAGTGATTATTAGTTGCTATACAATTGTTATTATGTAATACCTCGAACAGCATAGTTCACAATTGATAGCGGGTGTGTATCCTCGACTAGCATGTAATCTCCAGGTTTCATGAACGGCTCTAAATGGCCCAGAGATTTTTCCAGGCGAACATGACAATCTTCGGAGATAAACCAAGGATGTGGTAACTCCTGTACATAAACAAAAGAATGGCCTCAGGAGAGCACAACATCAACATGAAAAAGCTGGATTGTTCGTCGATAATCGAGTAAATTCCCGAATTGCGCGTATAACAAAATGTCGGCTATTCAATTTTTTTCGTACTTGGAAATGAATCGAAGCAAATATTATATACCTTCAACATTTTCTCCGGGAGGACCTTCTCCACATCCTTCGAGACATCAGCTGTGATGAAAGTAATGTCATCTCTCTTTTTCGCTGTTTCGTGCAAGCATTCGGATGTAATGTCGAGAGAATAAACGTGGCTCTTCACACCAAAACATTTTAATGTGTCGGCATACCATAAGGCACATCCTCCTGCATAGCTGCCAAATTCGATGACTGTCGCGGGTTTTTCACGACCAAGCAAGTCTTGCAAAGTAACCAAGTCGACGGCGCTTTTCATAACTTCTACTCCATTCCACGTCGTCCGAAACTTACCTTATAAACAGCAAAGGGAACATGGTAGAAATCAGGATTTAGAAGAATTGTTTACACTGGGAATCCGAGAGCACAGCTATATATTCCACTGTGGTAAACACGTAATTTAACATGCAGTTGCGCGGCCCTACAATCTGTTGCCAGTCGTAAAAATGCGTGTCGGCCATTTCAGGGTACCCATTACCCAACATCTGGGTAAACGCGAGGGTTTAAGCCGGTTTTCTAATAGGCGGAATTTTTTGATCGAAAGAAGTTTTTCGCTCGATTTTCTTTTCAATTGTGACCGGTAAAGTAAACTGCTAATGTCGAATTCACACAATTGAAAAGAAATCGAGCAAAAAATTCCGTTCGATCGAAAAATTTCTTCGCCTAGTGGAATACAGCCTGCGTGCAGACGTATGGGGAAATAAGTGGAATACCGCCTTTAAGGAATTTTTCGTTTGATATTCTTTTAATTATGAGAATTCAACCGTAGCGGATTCCTTTCACCGGTCAAATTGAAAAGAAGATTGAGTGAAAAATTTCGTTCGATCGAAAATTTCGCCTAGTGGAAAACCACCTTTATACCCTGGTACATGTTCTCAAATTATGCCCATGCAGGGTAAACACACGTTTACTATTTCCGGTAAATTGCCGCATGGCTAAGAAGACATTTCTGGCATTCATTGAATTCAGATTGTTTATTAATCTACCTCCTCCACAGGCGTTTCATAATACTGCGCGGGCAGCATTAGAAATGCGGGTAATGCGAAGAGAAACCAAACGAGTGAAAAGACGGGGAAACGAAGTTTCTCTTCGCATTACCCGCATTTCTAATGGTGCCCCGCTTTTTCCCTAATTTTCCCGCCCGCTCGCAGCATTATGAAACGCTTGCGGGGGAAGATAGTTGATTTACTTGATTAGTCTGTTGATTAATCGCCCCAGTCTGACAAGGTTGCACTAAACTAAAGCAAATGTCAGTAAACGTTTCGTCTCTCAATTCTATAAAGTTAAAACCACGCCGCTATAAGAGATATTTTAAAGGTTTTTGAATCAAAATTAATGAGTCAAAAATCCAAAGATAATAGTCTCAGTGTTAATGAGCTAGACTTCTATACTATAGTTTCCCGGAAATGTTCTACATATGAGTATATGAAGCGAAATAAGCGCAAGCCATCGCCAGCATGACTATGTTTACCTATATTTTACTACACAGGTAAACGGGGTTATGTAAACAGCCACGAAAATACACTTCGATTTACGAGAATATTCCGGTCATTCAAGGTTTATATTATTATATTTGGAGTAACTTATTCTGCATAAAATACGGAACGATCATGCATATTTCCATATCTATCACGTTTTGGATTAAACCAATAACTCACCAGTGCACAGAAATTTATTAATTTCGATTGTCAGAATGCTTCGGGTTTCTCGCTCCTCAAACTTGGCGAAGCGATTTTCCTCAATATTCCGGACTTTGAATGCCTTGTTTAAAGACAACACATCCCCACCGTAATAACTTTCATCTTCGCCTTTTATTGACATGATATTTTGCGAGTGTGTGCTTTTTAAATGTGTCCGCAAAGCCTGCAGTATATGACGTATCACAATAGTCCTTTTCAGCTTGTAAGACACAAGAACTATGCGCTGTTTAATAACTTTTATTTGTCCGTCTCTTTCCTAACCGGCTCTCAATCGCTCTATATTTTATACTAATAATACTCCATCAGTCCCCCGTTGTTGTTGTCTCTCCTTAGTCACTAGAGACTGTCTCGAATTACGCATGCACTAACTTTGTTTTAGTATACAAATCCTACATTCTGATTGGCTACTCAACATTGTCTATTCGTGATGGTGAACGTTTGGGAAAAATTCGCTCGCGCGACCGTATAAAATTGAATTAGGCTAATTAAGTTATTTTTCGGAATTATTTCTCGAAATTAATATATCTATACGTACAGGGTGTATACAAAAACATTTAGAATACCTGGGTATAGAATAAATGGGAATACCTGCATGGGTATCTGACGTACAAAATGCGGAATAACTCCGCTTCTTCCCATATACAATGGACTTTTTCTTTCTTTGCATGCATGATATTCTAGATCAATGCATAAGGGATTCTTTGAAGATATTTTGAAGTTGTTCGAATCGCGGAAGTCGCATGACTAAAGTGTAAATGTGGCGTCATGTTCCGGTACAATGTAAACTAAACTATATATCTTCTTAAAATACAAACTATACTAAATTTGCGTTTAGAATCATATACGAGTAGAGTGTTCGATATAGCGATATTATTCCCTATACAAATTTGTTTCGTATAACAAGCAGAGCCTGCCACACTCATAACTTCATAAGGTGAGTTTTTATCATTTTATAGTCTTTATTACCATGGAGTGAGAGGGATTTTGCGAAATATTCCTGAAGTGATGATATTTCCCAAGGTCATGGCCCGAGTTAATATCATTATAAAAAATCTTATCCCACTGAAAAAACGGAAGAATTTGGTCTGCTGTACTCTAAATTTTCAAGCCTTTTTTAGAAGAGTATGCAAGAGCTAGTGCTCCATCTCAGAATTTCATCCCAAAATTTCAGAATTTTTGAAGTGGCATTTTTATAATTTATCAAATATACACTTTCAAAATCGACTCCTTTTCGAAATTAATGCGATGGTATTATTATTGTCGTTCACTGTCGATTGTAATGAATCATGGCTTTGAAAACGATAAACCAAGCTTATAAAAAAGTAAAATGCGTCCTCACAGCAGTTTTTTGCTTACGAACAGAACTTCACAGAGTCTGGTATAGCCGGAGTATACTCGGTACATTTTATTCAAAATCAGTCAAATATTATTCAATAATTGGATCATTTGGATGTAGCTATATTTGCCCTTCAACGACACAAAAATTAGACCCGCTTTAAATAACTGTTCATCATCGGGGAACCATTATATCTACAAAAAAGACGTTCAGATAAAACTGCATGTTAACACATAATAATCACGTTTTTGAAATATATTTGATAATATTTGACACTGCGATCATTGATTATTATTTCGAACAGAGAAGCACGATATAACAACGCTTTATTCCACATCAAAACGCTGACACAATTGAGGAGGACTAAGTCCAACAAAACTAAATCAAAACGAGGTAGCTCGCTTTCACAGCAGACGCGTGTTTTCGTCGTGTCCGAAATAAAACTCAAAGTAAAAAATTGCTTGCGAATTTTGAAAGGTTATATATGGCACCCGATGGTCAGGCAGTGCCTGAATCGGTCACTGAGGAGTCAGAGAATCAACCTCAGTCAACGCCACAAGTTCCTTTGCGACCAAAACAACCGGTCTCGAAGCGACTAGGAAAAACTTTGGCCAAAGACCGCTGGGCGTTCGGGCTCACGAAGGGAAGCGTAAGGCTTCCAGAAGTATGAAAAAACCTTCAAAGAAGTCAAGAAGGTCAAAATTTGACTATTCTTCCTCTTCTTCGAGCTCTAGCAGCTCTTCTTCGTCGGAGAGTGAATCGGAAATTTCGAATGTTATGTTATGCAGGATATTTCTCCAGGTTAGTGTGACACGGTTTTACATTCATCTTCTGGATCGCTTATCGATGTGGTTATAGACTTTGCGTTATTTATTTTGTTCAGGGTATCGTTACAGATAAATGATAACTTGTTTGTTCAGTGCCTTGCTCGCTGATTTACACAGGTTTGGTGATGTCGAGGCTACCTCGTTTTGATTCAGTTTTGTTAGTCCTCCATCCGGTGTCTAAGCGTTTTGATGTGGAATAAAGCATTGTTATATCTCACTTCTGTGTTCTCATAATTATATAATCTTGACTTTGGCAGTTATAGGCTAATTTAAGTGGAGTTAGGGCCGAAGCGAAAATGAAGATGGGGTAACAAAGCTTTTCTTGAGGGCTTTAAAAACCTTTTTACCAAAAAACGCAGTGCATTTTAAATGCATGCTATTAGTGCGATATAGCTGCCCCACAGAATATTATATATAAATATATATATATATATATATATATATATATATATATATATATATATATATATATATATATATATATATATATATATATATATATATATATGTATATATACATGATACATGCATTATATTTTTCTTTGCTTTTGCAATTGCGCGTGGTTGGTTGTATAAAGCATGCATGCACGCAAAAAAATTGCGAATTGAAAAACTATACCCAAAAAAATCTGTGTAATGGCAGTCAACGAGAAATTTTCCAGGACGAGCTTTCAAAAAATTTCTCAAATCGTCGTGTTTTCCAAGACCAGCTTCGTCGAAATCGCTTGAAGTTGAACCTATATTGTGAAAAATTTATAATCATTAATCAAATCCTTTCCTGTTTCAGTTACGATGATCTGCGTAACTATTGCTATGCATGCATTCACGAGCTTGATCGATATCCCGCGTTAACTAGGCGGACTTTTATTCCGCCTAGTGGAAAACCGCTCTTATATAGTTGTGATGCAGAAGTATTTATAGTTTTTGTATTTTATTCACGTGCAAGGGGGGTGACCATGTATAGTTAAATTATTTCATTTGTTCTGCGATTACAAAAGAAAACTGGGTATTAATTGAGCTATTCGGATGTCCAATTGATTCTGTTTTCAGCGTGCAAATATCAATCAATCCAACAAAGGGAGAAATTAGGCAATTTGCAAGATGGCCGCCGGAAATGTTCGCGGCTAAATTCAGGATGCTTTGGCAGAATGTATGCATTTTCTCTTCAAAAAATACGGGAGTATTTTGAAATTTCTTTTAGCTTAAATTCCCGCCCAAGTTATTTATGTTGTATATCGTTTTCTGAACAAGAAATTATATACATGTACAAATTCTACATTGGATAACTCTCTTTCAAATTTTGTTAAAATTTGAAAGGCCGGGGGGCGAGCCCAAATTTGCAAAATTGTCCTGCCAAACTTTTGTCCGTTATTTTTAGTTCTTCCAGGTCCTGGGCTGTTTAGTTTGTATCCAAAATTTCCGCCATTCCATACTTCGAAAAATCATTGCACTGCAGTCAAAATCAATAAAATATGAGTATACTCTTCTGGACCAAATAGAATCCAGTAATTTTAGTATGCTAATAAAAAAGTGATTGTCAGTTTCTACAATTGTTATTACGTAATACCTTGACCCGGATAGTTCGCATTTGATAACGGGTGTGTATCCTCGACTAGCATGTAATCTCCAGGTTTCATGAACGGCTCTAAATGGCCCAGAGATTTTTCCAGACGAACATGACAATCTTCAGAGATAAACCAAGGATGTGGTAACTCCTGTAAACAAAAGGATAACCTTAGGAGAGCACAACATCGGCATGAATAAAACTGCATTGTTCTTCGATCATGGAGTAAATTCACTTTACTACATCAATCTTCACAATGGAAAGCGATAATAAAACATAAAGAGTCCGTTCACGTCGGTTTAAAAGCACTATACGGTCGTTTTATCTGTCGACTATGTCGTACAGAGTGCACCGTGCGAGGGTACTAATTCTGGAGATGAGGAATTACACCGCCTGGAGATTAGGAATTACATTGAATATTCGGGAGATAAGATTTGACGTCCAGTCAGTAGTCCTTGAGGATTTTGTAGTGTTTTAATGGTTTAAAGCTTCAATATTTAACATTTAGTTAATTTGCGAGAGTTCATAAATGTCTGCTTTAATAATGCATTAGAATTTAATAACGAGCAATGTTTACTGCTGCACTTTTACTCTTTTCGTGCCGAATGATAAAAACACGTACGCAACGCGTGCATGTGGTAGCCTCTAAAGCACTGGCTGCGATAAAGCTAAACGCATATGGTCGACTATTTTCACTGAAAGATGAAGTGTGATTGGTGATGACTCAAAAACTTCAATTAACACTGAATAAATAAATTTTATTTACTGGTTGATAATTCTATACAACTGTTTCCCTTATTGACATTGTGTTTATCGTTAAGAATTGAATGATCCCAAATATTCACTGATTTAATTTCGTTGTAAACAATTGCAAACAATGACATAGCTACACACTGTCTACTACACCATTGACATGATTAATTGATCATGTGTTGTACAGGTAGAATCAATTATATCATTTATAGTCTTGGGGCCAGGATTTTCCTCCACGTCATTTGACAGTCTTCAAATATAGCCTCGTACCCAGGCGGTTTTTGAAAAAACAAAAGTTATATAGGTTTCATTCAGCTAATACATAGAGTTCAGTGGCCAAAAAAAGCGCGCTGGGGTGCTTGGGGTGGTTTTCAACCCCAGGCGCTCGCACATAGTGGTTGGTCTTCAATCGCAGTACGCATTATGCGTATATCACTGTTCTTTTGCTTTTTATTTCATTGAAATTTGAAAGGCAAGTAGAATAAATTGAAGTAGAACAATTGTATTTGATTCTAAAGTTTGCCATTAAGTATATTTTGTGCACTTTGTCACCACGTTAATTTGCCAAATGCTTTGTTTCATTAAAGAGGCTAGGATGAATCATTCGTTTACGAGATTTTACAAAAATATTAAACGTGAAAAGAAAAAAAACCTCCCGTTAATCGTGTCTAGGGGTTGTTGTAAGGAAATTTTGTAAGGCATGGCAAAATTTACGCGTGTTAATATATAACATATATACGATCAGAAAAGCTCTGCTGCCCTGCATGATGCATGTGAACTATTGTAATTAATATTTCATCTAAAATTTTGAGAAGCATTTTACGTAGGTTAAGCTTAGGTTATACGTCGCACTTTGGTCGCGTCGTATGCAATTCAAACTGTAGATAATGAGATGTGCACACGGCAAATGACGTTGAGTGAATCTTCAACGTGAGTGAGCATACCTTCAACATTTTCTCCGGGAGGACCTTCTCCATATCTTTCGAGACATCAGCTGTGATGAAAGTAATCTCATCTCTCTTTTTCGCTGTTTCGTGCAAGTATTCGGGTGTAATGTCGAGAGAATAAACGTGGGATTTCACACCAAAACATTTTAATGTGTCGGCATACCATAAGGCACATCCTCCTGCATAACTGCCAAATTCGATAATTGTCGCCGGTTTTTCACGGCCAAGCAAATCTTGCAAAGTAACCAAGTCGACGGCGCTTTTCATGACTGCCACTCCATTCCAAATCGTCTGATATTTGCCTTAACAACGGAATTAATAGAATGTGGTAGTAGACATTTGGATTGTTTACACTAGGAATCAGTTCGAAAGCACAGATGACAGCTATATTCCAATCTGATGATAAACAAGCCATCTTCACCGGGCAACTGCCCCCCTTGCCTTTTACCAGCAGTGGCAAGCGGGGCAAAGGTACCCTTTCCTCTTAAATGATTAGATTCTATATCTCAAAGTAAATGTATATGGTATATGTTCCCGTATTTGTCCATGCACATCCTCGTTCCTGGTTTTTTTCGCCTACTGGGTATGCTCTAGGCACACACAGTACGCGGAAAAACCTGAGGACTGCCACTATTTACCTACCAAATTTCCGCGTGGAGGCCTGGATCATGCATACAATATATATATAATATCAGGGGCAGTGGCCAAGAAGACATTCCTGGCAGCCTCGTACCCAGGCGCTTTAAATAACTATAAATGTAGGCACACTACAGGCCTTTACATAGATCAGTGGCTAAGGTGAGCGAGCGCACAGGGAATTTTGGGGAGGATGCGGGGAAGGAAGCGCCTGGAAGAAAATGCATAAAACCACTGGACAAATCGAGTAAAGCAATCAACAGTGAATGTTTTCATATACAGTTGGATCCATATTATATTCCACAATGCATTCGAAATCTGCGAGCAATCTGTGTCTTCTGTAGTGCATTGGCCACTTGATAAATTATAAGCTAGAGTACAGTAGGTATAATGGATTAAAAGTATAGTAATCACAGATTAGTGATGTGCGTTCGGAATTAACGATCATTAACAAGAATGTTAACATTATAACGTCACGGGGTATGTGATTAAAAGGTTACCGACTAAATGTGCAATTCCTGCACTACGAATTTGAAAATGGCAGTTACAACCATTTGCGAGCTTCCATTAACCGTGCACTCGAAACAAGGTTTTAAAAAGTTTGAATTAATGCGTTTTTCAACGGAAACACATTTGTTTTGACTTTCAAACTTTTTGTGGGATGGGCCGAAACAATTAGTTTCATGATCAAAACATTTCACTTTTGCCTATAATTGTAACCAAAATTTGTAGCTTTGTTATGGCGTTCAAGATAAACAGGCATGTTAGATATAGACATCTCATTGCTCAATCTTGAATGGATTTACGATTAGTAAATTCCCCAAAAATTACCAAAATTACGAAAGTGTCGAAAATATCCCTGACTTGACAGACGCAATTATATAGAATATAACGAAAATATAGAATATTACACATACATATGCTATATATTACACATGCATAGATGTCAGTACATATCGTCTGAACTGAAAATGTCTACTATTAGTGAAAGTGTTTTACGGGGGTGGTTATGAACGATTATCAACTTTGTTCGGGATACACTTTGTGATATGAAATTTGCGTCATTCGCGAATCGAATTCGTCAAATTGCGTGTCATGAGAGTTCTTCTACATCGAAAAGGACGACGAAAATAAATACGTAACAACGAGTAACGATGACGCTTTTGAATTAAGATGCTCTTCATTGCATAACCCAAATGCAGAATCATGAAAACATCTTCCGACTAAGTATCAGAGTTGTCGATTCCTTGACGTCAAAGTCGCCAGCGAAAAAAAAAACAATGCACAACAATGGACGAGGACAAACCCACGCCACTGGCTGGAAAGAACGCTGCAAGTAAAAGAAAACTTTACTTTCCCTGCATGTCATATAGTGACTGCCACTGTCAATAAATCTGGAGAACGGGCAGAACCCAATGGGCAAAGTTGAAACGCCGATACACCTCTGCAAAGGTATATTTCTAATTGCCAGTCGAAAATAAATGAAAATTAAAATGCCAGGCTAAGAAGAAACTTGAGGACGATGAAACAAAGTTAAGAAAAAGAATCGAGAACGTAAAATTACAAAAACGGCAAAAGGGGTTCGATATGTCATAATTGCCACATGCGGTTGGGGCATTCATCTCGTACTTGTCCTTTCGATAGTTGTGAAACACTTTACAGCGGTGGGCAGGAAAAATTTCACGCAGCAGAAATGTCTAAACTACGGCAAGAAAGACAATCTATAAATAAGCTCAATAAGGAAATTGAACAGCAAATATGAGAAGCAGGATGACAGCTGTATCGAAATTAGAAAAGTCTATCACGAGTCAAATTGAAGTGGAGCTTCTTAGAGGCGGACGAAGATCAAAGTTATGATATAAACGGATTTTGAAACTGGTAGCTATTGCGAAAGCATGTGTACGCTATACAAGCAGGGCTGTAACTAGAACGATAATTGGGGGGGTGTAAAGGGCTGTAACTAGAACGATAATTGGGGGGGTGTAATGAACAATGAAATAATTATTCAGTTCTGCCCGACGGATTTCCATTGCGAGCTATTGCACTTACAAAAGAAATCCGTAGGGCAGAACTGAATATATGAATAAACATCCCCCCAATTATCGTTGTAGTTACGGCCCTGATAATACAAGATATTCTAAAAAACTTTTAAACGGGAAAATACCACCAAAACATGAGCTGAAAAGCATTCTTAACCTTGCATTAGATGAAAGTTCAGAAGTGACTTACGAAATGAACAATAAACAAAGCTGCGAAAGGAAACATCGGGAAAATCCATTCAAGGAACTGTTTATAGAAAGAGAGGGGATTGCTATCCTATCCGAGCCCGCTTCGTACGAAGAAACATATGATAGGGATAAGTCAGATTTACCTCGATACATGCCAACGACAAGAGAGGAGGAAGAAGACCAATTTAATTTATCGAAAACTGTCGGATTTTCCCGAAGTTATGCGTGGTCTCCACGCAGGGTGAGAGTGTGACGTTATAGAAGAGGCCGACAACTCGTGGTCGATCGAACATGTTCGGCAGAAGAGGCCAACAAGTCGTAGTCTCTCTAACATGAACGGCAGAAGAGGGGAACAACTCGAGATCTTCTTTAACATGTTCGGGTAAGTAGCGATTTCGACCCCGACCAAGAAGGGAAAAACTCGAGGTCTTTCGAACAAGTTCGAAAAAGTCTCGATTTCGACCAGCACTAAGACGGGTGAAAATCGAATTCTCCCGAACATGTCCAAAAAAGTCCCGGTTTGGACCTGCAGTAGTTGGGGAAAATGTCGAGGTATCTCGAACATGTTCGAAAAAAGGTCGCGATTTCGCTGTGGTCGATTCGAGCGAAATAGCGATGTCGCGGGTCATGACCAAGGAGGATGTTTGGGAAGATGGAATGCGGTTTGTGAAACATTGTCAACATCGATCTTCAAGGAGGATGTTGCGGCGAACGGTTCTCCGGTTAATATTTTTACTATATATGAGGGGCATGTGCTCTGTGAATGAGTGCGAGTGCGAAATCAACATTGCTCGTTGTGGTGAGGAAGTCAAATGCGTCCAATCGTATGGCTGGCTTTCTTTCCACCTTCGGGTAAAAAGGCGTTGCGTTAATCGAAGTTTTGCTTCAAAGTTGGCTATATAAGAGGGGTATATGTGCTCCGTGAATTAGTACGAGTGCAATCAATCAATCAATCAAAACTTTATTTAAGCACGGTAAAATCTACAGTATAAAAAGTGGGCTATAATTATATACATTCATTAGATATTTAGAGACAAAATTACTAAATACAACACAATACAATACAATTTAAAATACAGATATATAAACTGATTTACAAGATTGCCGTGCGAGAGTCTGTTTTATAGGGAAAAAATGTTGTCAATCTCCCTTTTAAATTGGTTAAGAGAGCATAATGCTCGTACATTTTGAGGTAACTCATTCCACAACACCGCGCCACTATAACTAAAACTTCGTTTAGCATAATTTGTTCGCGGTTTTGGTACAAATAAAGCATTTTCAGAGTTTCTCAAATTGTATCCTGTGCTGTGGAATTCAAATAAATTACGGAGATAATTTGGTGTTAAATCGTTAAGAATTTTGAACATTATTACAGCCTTGTGTTTTTTCTGGCGTGTCGAAAGATTGTCCCAACCTAGTTTAGTGAAAAGGTCGCTGGAACTTGCATCGTATCCAGATTTGGTAATTACCCTCGCTGCTCTATTTTGCAGTTTTTGCAATTTATCATTTAACGTGATATTTAAACCATCCCAAACTGAGCTACAATAATCAAAATACGGTTGAATCAAAGCTCCGTAAATTTTGAGGGCAGTGCTTGTATCTATGAACTGGCGTATCCTTTTAAGAGCACCAATTGCCGACGCAACCTTTTTGGAAATGCCTTCAACGTGTCGCGCCCATACTAGGTGCTCATCAATTTGTAATCCTAATGATTTCGTATCTTTAACTCTCTTGATTATCTTCCCGTCAATTTCGATGTTTATTTGTTCATTATTGTGTATCATTAACCGTTGACGAGATCCAATTATCATAAATTCCGTTTTAGCGACATTTAGACTCAGTTTGTTAGCTATGAGCCATTGATTAAGATTTTTCAATTCAGAGTTAATTATTGATTCAAGCTCTGTTACAGATTTTGCCGCAATACTTATATTAGTATCATCAGCAAACATTCTCGGAGAGGCTCTTTCCAGACAATTAGGCAAATCGTTAATGTAAATTAAAAACAATAGTGGCCCCAAGTTGCTACCTTGAGGCACACCACAACTTATTTTAACAGCCTCAGATAATTCACCATTTACGCAACATCTTTGGCCTCGGTTGTTTAGATATGATTCAAAGAGTTTGATGCCGCTTTGGTCAACACCATATATTCTTAGCTTCCGTAAGAGAATGGTGTGATCAATGGTATCAAATGCTTTTTTGAGGTCGATAAAGACCACTCCATTGAGTAAGCCATTATCTATGTTGATTGACCATTTGTCCGTTGCTTCTAATAAGGCAGTTAATGTACTGTGCAACGATCGAAAACCGGATTGAATTTTGGATATCAAATTATTAGCATTTAAATACTCATATAGCTGATCAAAAATCAGTTTTTCAAAAATCTTAGCAACACATGAAATTACGGATATTGGTCGATAGTTGTCCATATCATC